GAGAAAGCAGCTCAAAACAAAACAGCACGACGAATTTCAACCTCAGAAAGTTTAATAATTTGAGATTAAGTGTTTTTTCAGTTTATTAGAAAAGGCTCTGGCAGAAACAGCATTGGTAATTGAGAATGGTAGGTTGTTCCAAATAGAGGGGCCCGTATATCTAATGTTATGTTAGAAATAGTTTGTGTTGTGATAAGGGATGTGAATATCAGTTCTAGAACGCGTATAATAATTGTGAAAAGAGGAATTAGACATAATCATGTTACTTAAATGCTTGGGAAGGATCGAATGCATGGCGGAGTATACAAATATACTTTGCTGGATTAAATTAATATCGTATAATTTTAGAAAATTTAGGTTGGAAACCAGTTCACTGAAAACATAAAATCCCAGTTTGCCGAAACCCGGTTTGCCGAAACTCGGTTTGCCGAATTTGAATTTTGTCGTCATTGTCGTACAAAAGCGTAGCACGCTACTTTTGGAAATAAAATGTAATAAACAGCAATTATGTAGGCGAAATCGAATGTAAACTCAGACTTAACTATTTTGAACTAAATGTAATAACGGTAAATATTGTAGGCGAAACCGAATGTAAACTCAGGCTTAACAACCACAAAAAAATAGTTAAAACCATCACAAGGGCTTCCTGTTGCTCACCACTTTAATTTACTGAGCCATACTATCAGTGATTTATTCTTTATAATCTTAGGCACCAATTTCAAATCTACTACTGTACTAAGGCTTGAGGACTGGGCGGATACCCCCGGGACATTTTCTAGCCTTAGTAAATCTGAAATTGGTGCCTAAGATTAACTAGCCTAAATCACTAATAGTATGGCTCTTTAATTTGAAATAGTGAGCAATAGGGAAGCCCTCTAAAAATACATGCTTCATATAATGTTTTTAGGCATCTACTGATTGATGACCACCTGATGAAGGGCGATGCCCGAAAATGTTTGTGTTTTTACCATTAAAAGTTAAGGCTACTCTACACTTTTGCTTTATGCGTTTTATTACTATAATATCTGTCTCTTATACACATCTAGATGTGTATAAGAGACAGCAAATATACTTTGCTGGATTAAATTAATATCGTTTAATTTTGAAAAATTGAGATTGGAAAACAGATGGGAAGAAGGAGATTGTGGGGGAGAGCCAGAAATGATCCTGATAGCCTTTTTTTGAAGAATTTGAAGTTTGTTGATGTTAGATGGATATGTATTGCCCCAAACAATGTTGCACTAGCTCAATAAGGACGAATGAGAGAGCAGTAGCGAATACGAAGAACATTACAGGTAATAAATGAGGAAAGTACAGAAATAATGCCAAGGCTTTTGGAAAATTTATTTTCAACTTCGCTTATGTGACTTTTTCAAGTGAACCCACTGTCTAAGTGCACTACTACAAATCCACAAATTTTGCTGAATGAACAGGGCATCAGTTTTACAATTATATTTGTTTATTTTGTAACATGCATTAGTAAAGTGTTTTAATGTTAAACCATATCATTAAGTGCAGTAGATGACATATTCAAAGTAAGAGTATGATCATACTATCTACTACGTATTACAGTATAAATCATTTGTTTTTCTGACAGACAATAGTTTATCAGATATTGTCTGTACTGACATGACAAGTACTATTGGGTCTGCTCATTTTTTTTTCTTTAAAAATATTATTCTGTACAATACATATATACATACATATGTTACAATTGCCTAGAGTACTGTATATTTTGTCAGCATTTTTTAAATTGTTTAACCCATATGTGAACTATTTGTAATTAATATTTCACTTGAATATTCAAATAAATAGTTAAATTCTAAGAAATCCATGTCATCTGTCATTTATTTGCATTTACTGTGTTTGCCTTGTAAGTTGAATCACTGAAAACGTAGGATTTAAAAATGAAGAGGCATCAAACAGAAATCAATAGAGAGCTTCCATTTACAGCAATCCCAGCAAACAAACTTGCACATGGAAACACAGGATTTTGATGATGATTGGTGGTGATGATAGTGATGATGATGATCACATGATGATGACGGCAATGACAATGGGAAATGGCAAAAGTTTAATAATTTACAGACACAAGTATTCGCAAAGGAATGAAAAAAACAATTACAATTTGACAGTTATAACATGGATTAGATGTTTATGGCAAAATTCATCAAGAGGAACAATAAAATTAACTAATAGAACACTTTCAAATCATTAGTGGTAAAATGTCTATGAAGAACGAAAAATATAAATCTACAATCAGTGGCGTAATGATGGGGCCGGGGACCTTGTGGCTTTCTAAGAGTGGCCCTTTTTGGTCCCAGTCGCCAATTCCATTGTGGAATTTTAGAAGTACTCGTTTTTTTAATTGTCATTTTACATTCTAAACGTTTTTAACGACAAAATTATTGATATATGAGTGGCCAATCCAAGAATATTTAATAGGGCCCATAGGGGAGAAATTTTCACTGATAAAGTGTCAATACCACCACCATGGTTGGGGCTGAGGTAAGAACATTTATAATTACGGCCCCTCTAATGGCCGGAAATAGCACTCTCTCAAACTTTAATTCACCATTGGATATAATATGATGCCAGAGACACATTATGCTGTTATGTATCAACAAAGACCTTTTGGGTCAGGGTAATAGGTCGAGGACCATTTTGTTAGGGTTCTTTCGGGGCATCTACGGGTCGAGGGGCCTGTGAACCGCCAGGTGAGAGCGATAGGCTTTATGCCACTGTCCACAATGTTGATAATGAACATAAGCTCAGCAGGCTCTAAATTTAATATCACAAGCAAATATTGAATTAATTTAACATTTTTAATACCAAATAAAATGTATTGCTAACCAATTTTAGGGGCTAAGCAAAGAATATACAACAAATTACTTATGCATGTTATATGGATATATACTTCCTGTGGAAATGAGGAACATGATAAAACAACATTAAAAAATTGAAAACACATACCTCAATCCTAATTCATAATTTTGATTGGCCTATTGAGGCTGCCTTTGGTTTTATTCAGATCTTCAGTTCTGGTGTCAGCATAACTACATATGCCTCTCTCTCCATTTATACCTCAATTTCACAATGAATTGAATTTATCATAATTTTAATATTCTAAAAATTTTAATTATTATTATGCATTCATTTGTTTTATTGGAACTTTTATGAAAAAATACAATTTATTCATTTAATTATATATCTTAATAGACTTGTAAGTTTTGACATCAAATTTTAAATAGCTGTAAATACAAAATATTGCACTTTTGTAAATCTTGTAAATTGAATTTATACTGAACTCCTTCCTATTCATGCTACATATACAGTAATTAACTGTTGTACGTGTATTTTCAAATTGATGTTTTTGTATTGGGTCTCTAACTGCATTGCTGTTAGGGTCACTCCTCATTAAATTAAGTTGAGAAATGCATCTGAATTAGTGAGAAAAATATTTTATTGTTCTAATAAAGATTAATAACTTGGTTACTTAAATGCTAGTGAATGTAATTTTGTATCACAATGGTGCAACAGTTAACTTAGTTGCTGGTGGAATTTGAATTGCTCAAATGAAAATGAAAGCCTAGATTTGTGGAAAATTTTGTTTTGAATCACATTCATTTTATTCTTCTGGCAGCTAACAGTTACAAGAGCAAGTATTTATTAGACATTTAAAATTGTGTTACTTCGGTTATACTGGATACGAGGAAGTGTTTTTTTAATAGAACCGAGTGAGGAAAGTATTACCTCACTTTACTTAAGAATCAATGGAAAAAAATCCATAAAAGCTTGAGGTAATCAAAGATTATAGGTGGGTAAAGACTAAATTCACTAGCCAAGAGGAACATTTTATTTATATATCATACATAATCAATTACTGTACCAGAGATCCAGGGAGCGTGACGGTATGATGCATACTGCCGCGGCCGAGCGTTGCAATGAGTGGAATATATGTAGTCTAGGTTGTGAACTGGATTTAAGCATGGGTAAGATGCGATTGCATCTCTATACCTCAGGTTGTATGGCTTGGGTTATGGAGTGTCATTTTTGTCAATAAATGTATATACTAGTTTCTGTGATACCACTTCCGACAAATTTTGAACGCCGGCCATGCCCACTCATGGGTACACTTCAGTTTTTTTTTCTCTCTTTCCTCTTCTCACTATTTTTCTTCTATTCTTTAATTTCTTGGCACCATTATCTTCGTCGTGATCATCATTATTTTTACTGCAACACACTGCAGTTATTCTTATTGTTTGGTTCTTTCAAACATTGCCAAAGACAATAAACTTTAAAAAAAAGGTTTATGGGTGACGCATAAAAAACAAGAGTATGTTCTGTGTCCAATAATAGTACCCCGTAATGCGAATGACAAAAATACCACAATAAAGTCTAAACAAAAACAATTCACACACATCAGTACTATGTTTA